TTTTTTTTTTTAATATATAGATAAAATAAAAATTTTCGAATTCTTACCAGCGGGTGTAGGAATTACACGTGGTTTAGCACCAAGATAAGCTAAATTAACATTTGCTTTACGACCATCAATAACAGGATTAGCTTCTCTCGTTGCTAAACTTGCAGCGTCTTGAGTATTCATTGTTACCTTGAAAAAAAATAAAATTATTTTTGTTTTTTAATTAATCTTTTAATCTATATAATTAAATTTCTAGCACATTTCCATTATCTATACTTAGACTTCTGTTCTGATTGATAGGCATGGATATGATAAGAAGAAAAACGATTATCTTTCAAGACGAAAGCGTTCCATCTGTATACACACATGCCGACAATCATCATATAGACGCGTGTTTATAATCAATCTTTTCGTTTTTTTCTTCTTCTTCTTTACTTACAAATCCATAACCACGTGATTTTCCTGTTTGTCGATCTGTAATAACCTAAAATATCGAGAAAAAAAATCTAGTTCTTTTTTTGTTGTATCTCAATCAAATAATACATACGACTGCTTCTTCAATTTCACCAAAGCGTTCAAAAAATTTTCGTAATGTTTCATCAGTTGTATGATATGGTAAACCACCAACAAAAATTTCTAATTAATCAAAATATTATTATTTGTTCGGATACGAAGATAATAAATTAATTTATCTCTTACTTGTAAATGTTGTATCTTTATGTAATAATGACATTGATATAAAATATTCTTAAATAAAACGAAAAAATGTCGTCAAAAACTATATATATGCACTACTCATGTACTTTTTTAAGAGCGAAGAAAAATCATACAGAACAGAATCAAGTAAAAAAAAATGGATATCGACTAATTCATCACTAGAGAGTATATGAGATGTGGAAAAGAAAATGTGCTTGATTTAGCAGAAGGAACCAATCAGTACCATACAATCGTTCTGGGAAAAAAAAGAAAGAAAGATATTGTACAGTTATCTCTCGTTTTCTTTTGCGTTTCTGTTCGTTCATGGATTAAATAGAAACATAACAAACGTATAAACAATATTTTTCTACGAATCAGAACATCTTTTTTTTTCCCTATGTATATATCCTGGAAAGAAACACAGCAGGAGGGATAAAATTGATGATATGGAAGAAAGAAAAACGACCTTTTTGCGATTCGATGCCCTCTAACTGTTTGTTCTCGTATTTATATACATACGATATGGATGAATCAATATAAATATAAATATGTATATGTATATATGACAAAATCTACGGATATGTATTATATTTATGAGTATAATTAGAAAAGAAATGAAAAATTGGAAATTACACTCTAGAGTATTCCTTTAAAAAAACAGATGTTGGCGTTTTTTCTTTTTCTGTATTTCTTCTGATGAAAATTACTGTAAGCAGTTGTGACAGTTCTTACTCATCCGATGATATTACTTAATTATATTTTCTGAAATAGCCTTAGGCTTTATATTTGATCTTTATCAATTTAAAAGCAAATAATAAAGTTTAAGATAGGAATAACTCATCAAATATTCTAATAGAGAATAATTAATTATAATTTTTATCAAAAAAAAAAACTTTTTTTTTATCGAGTCTTTATTTTTGTTGATTGAATTAATAACATTAGTTTCGTGCTAATTGATATGAACGTGGTGTACTACCATAAGGAATCCATGCTGGACGAGCAGACATTTGATGTGGTTCAAATTGTCGAAATGTATTGGTAACAGGTTGAATTGGACCTACTAATCCTCCATATGAAGTAATTGGATCTTGATTTGTTTGGCACTAAATAGGAAATATTATTTGAAATAATAAATATAAAAAAAAACTTACAGGATAACGTCCTGGTCGATTTTGAACATAAAAATGATTTTCATTATCAGGTTCTGGATATCGAATGTTAAAACGATCAGGAAATTCATCAAGAAATCGAGACCATTTTTGACTTGTTCGTCTAATTGAAAAAAAAACATAAAAATATAAAAATCAAATTCTAATTTACGTTGTATGAACTGGAACACTTAATGGACGAATTCGATCAAATGTATCCTAAATATAAAAAAAAGATAATTCTTCAAATAAAATAATCAATGAAATAACCCATACTGTTAAATTATATTCAATACGTGGATAAAAAGTTGGTTTATATGAATCATATTGTTTTGGAGAAGTTTGAACATGTTCAATTTCATTATTTATAAACGGTGAATGAACACAACCATGATAATGTGACACATGATTATGTGATGCTTTATGCCAGTTTGATAAAATTATTGGATTATAGGGTTTTACTGTATCAACAGCATCTGATCTCGAACGAACCGGACGACTAAAAATAAATATTATAATTAGGCAAGAACTAAACCTAATCTCATTTCAGTTTATCTTATAAAATACTCTCCACATTGTAGAATAGCAACGATGCCTTTATGATTTATAAGAACTATAAGTTTTTGACAGTACTTACCGTGCAGAATATGTTGGAAGACATGGTAATGGAATTATTCGATCTGAATTATTCATTTCAAATAATATTATCTACTCTTGTTTGTTATGAGCAAAACAAAACTCCAATATTTTGTTTTCGTTCGTTCGTTCTTTCTTTAGTCGAATCAATGTAAAGAACATTTTCTTTATATACCCTTAGAGTGTTTCATTTTAGAAACAATAGCAACAATTGTTTTTCGCTTTTTAATAAATAGAAGAAATGCATATATTTTTCTTTTTTTGTTTTTATATAGTTTCTTGAAAAAAAAATTGAATGTTACACATTGAACAGAACAAAAAAAGAAAGAAAGAAAGAAGAAAAGAACAACATAACTATACCGATACTTTTTAATAATAGAAGGTTAAAACAGACAACACATAGAAGACAAAAAAAAGAAAGAGAGAGAAAGAGAGAGTCATTTATCTTCCATAGGAAATTAGCCGCATAAACGCGAACAGTTGGTTTTTTTTAATAATATGATAATACAGAGAAAATATATCTAACAAAATTGATGGTAAACAAAAATAATCTGTGTATAGAGTTTTTCTTTTATACATAATAAAGATTTATATACAATAATAATATTTTCTCGTTTTAATTCAAGATGATCCTGTTACTCCATAATTCATTAATTCAGTAAAAGCACGTTCAAATGCTTGATGTAATTCGGAATAACTAACAATCATAACATTTTGTTCATCACGTGATGTGAGACAAATCTTATCATGCGAACCAGCATCAAACTAAATAATATATATATATAGACATAAAAGAAATTTATTACTTTCAATTAGATATACTTTATTTAGACATTGAACAACATGTGCCATATCAACAATTGGTTCACCTTCGAAACCAATTGAATGAAATATAAAATCACGAAATAATTTTAAGATATAACGATCACCAGTTTCAGACCAAGCTTGATTCATTGAATGCCTGGAAAAAAAAATATATTCAGTTTAATTTATACGATGAAAATTTTACATACTCAGGACGTTCAAGAACGGTATTCAGTTTACATATTAATCGAAATAGACGACCACAATCAAGTTCCTTAAATAAAAAAAAACAATAATAAATATTCAGCGTTTTATCCGAATTTCTTTTTTCGAGTGTGCGAAATGAAAATTCTGGGTGGGCGCCGGCCACCCGATAGATAAAACATTGTAAATATTCTCATAACTTACTTTTGCTAATTCATTTTCAAGTATATCACCTCGTACATGTAAATTATCAATATGTGCATAAAATCTTGCACCAATCATTGGCATGCATTCATTAATACTTTTTGGTTTTATTGTATTTGATGGTACTAAGAAGTGTCTAGAAAACAAAAACAGTATTTATGACCTAAAGTTCAATGTTTTTATCGTACAATATAAGATTTTTAAGATCATGTGAATAACTTCTTTGAACAATTTCTAATGATGTTTGTAAATGTTCTTTCTGTGCACCGACTATTGAATTACATGCTAACATTAATATTAAACGACCAAAATCTTGTAAATCACTTTGCTAAAAAGAAGAAAATGAATTATATTATAAATATAATTCACTGTTTTTTACTATATGTGCATGAATAGTTCCATTCATAGGTCCATCAAGTATATCGGCAATACCAACACCACTTAACCATATTCTATAAAAAAAGAGAAATGATTTGATTTGAGAAAAATTTTATTGATAATTTTTTATACCTAGATTTTGCACGTCCTGTTTTAGAATCTCCATCAACAAGTAATCTTGATAAATGTAAACAACGACAAGCAAGTGATGCTGCATGTAATGTTCGAATTAATGATGATATTTGTACAACATATTCCCAAATAAGTGATTCAGCTAATAAACCCGATTGATTTGTTCCTGGAATGAATAAAACTTAACAAATTAAAAATCTACTTTTTAAAAACCTTACCTTTTCCAGCACTAAATGGACGATCTTCACCCGATATATTATAAGGATTTGACCAACCTTTCAATAGGCTATTATTTGCACTAAAATGACGTTTTTGTAATGTTTCACAACATGGAAGAAAATCATAGACAAATATAATAGCTAGAAATTTAATTTAAAAAAATATCATGTTTTTTTTCTTTCTAAAAAATAAATTCTATATAAATACAAGGTTGTTCATCATCAAAATCTTTTGTTAAAAAAACTTCACGTAATTGTACAATATTAGCATGTATTAATTTTTTCCAAGTTTCAACAACTTCATATAAACGTACTGTTGGTAATTTACAACCTTTAATTTAGAAAAATAATATATTAATCAATACAAAAACATAAGAGTGAGTTTTTACCCATTATTCGTTTTAAATAACATATCGCATTTGTTCGAGTATGTGTTGCTTTATAACTTATTGTTTGATAACGAAATGTTCGGGATTTATGTGGAACATTAGCTTGACTACTATCAAGTGGCATCAAATTATAATAATCACCCACACGTTCAGGCATAGCTAAAATAAAATTTTCAAGTAAAGGCCAATCAGAATTTTATGCATCTTGATTATAATTTCGTATTATTTAACGAAGGTATTGTATAGAATAAGAACGTAGATTTATGGTATTATAAATTAATTGAAAATTTGATGGTGAATCAAATATTAATAGTTTACATCTACTTTGAGGTAGCAAACAAAAAGCTTCATAAATAAATATATAGCTTCTATAATAAGAATGACTTATAAATAACACAGCTGATGTTTTCATAAGATTTCTGAGTCAAACTTATCATCTGAAGAGATTTTTCGAACTTTAAATAGGTCTATTTGTGCTTTACTCGCGAAATATTGTTAAATCTTCGTCTTACCAGCTGCTACGTCAAGATTTGCGCAGGCAGTTAACATTTGGTTACGTCTCAATAATTCAGTTCTATAACAAAAATAATTTTATAAAAATATATTTCAAAATTGATATTACCTCAATTCATCAGTCATAAAATAAGCAAAATCAGGACGTGCTTGTCGAACAGATGACATATCAGGTGGAACTGTACGTTCTTTTTCATCATAATGATTTGAACCACTTATCAATAGATCATCATCAGTTAATTGTTGCATCTATAGATTCATATATATACAAATAATACAATAAGAGATTAAGAAAAAAGTATCCTTACGCTATATGGTGCTCTTTGTGAATATGGAAAAAATTCCATATTATTTTCCGGTGATATACGTGTATTATTATCTACGGCTGCTGCATCGACTAGAACAAATATAAATTCATACATGAAAACTTAGAAAACAATAAATCAATGAAAAACATGCAAGAAAAAAGCATATGAAATGGAGAAGTTTTTTTTTTAATTAACAGATCATACTTGTCATTTGTAAGCTTTTACGAACTGAAATATGCAAAAGCAAGGTATTAAGCATGAAGAAAAAGGTTGTTTTAAGTAACGAAATCTAATAGATATTTACCATGACTAGAAACAGATCCAAGATTATTGAATGTTCCATTAACTCCAAGATGTGCTAAACGTGATGATCCCATCATAGGATTAGGCTACAAATAAATAAATACATGATGTATAATTCAGAAGACATATGTAATAAATTTGCAGCTTGCTCGAGCGGTTACATATGAAAGGCAGGCTATCAACCGGATGTCCATTATGGCTCACTACTCATCATTTCATGCCCGGAAATATAATGTCAAGAAATACTGTGTCACGTACAGTCAAATGAGAAGATAAAAAGGAGCGATATTTTATTTTCGAATGAAATCTATGATTATTCTCACATGTGAATATTTGCTCTGTACTGAATGTGAATGTAAATCAGTTAAATAAGCATTCGCATTGTTGTTATTAGCACCACTAACATTATTAGTTATTGGTCCATCACGTGTCATCATTGATGGTTGAGAATAACTCGAATTATTATAATAAATTGGTGGATTACGAGGTGGTGTCATAAAAGTTCTTCCCTAAAAACAAAAGATTAAAATATCGATTTTTTTTGATTCATTATAATTTACTTGTTGAAATGGTGATATACCATATAGATCTCCATCTAATCCACCATTTGAAATCATATTTTACTTTCTATGTATATATATATTTATTTATTTAAATTCAAATCTATCGTTTGTACATTCGTCACCGGCAATAGAAAAAAACTGACGTAATTTCGTCGTCTAATCAATTCTCTATATTTTATAATGTCGTCGAAAAATCATATCTAAAGTGTAAGAGAAAGATTAGTTTTATTTTTTTTTCTTCATTTCTCTAAAAAAAATGGAATTATCATACATTGCTCATTCTCAACAACAGACAATACAAATATATTAATGTATATATATATATATAAGAGAAGACAAAGAAAAAAGAACACCGCGTTCATTTGTTTATCTGAGTTAAATGAGAATGATCAAAATAAAAAATAATAATACCATGTCATAAAGAGGAATGTTTTATGGAAAGTACTGTTTTGATACACGAGACGATAATTATTTTAAAAGAGAGAGAGAGTGCAAGTTTATATTATGTCGAAGATAGCCCATTTTACCAAAGTGGACCATTTGATTTACCACCTGGAGGATGAAATACACGAACGCTTGTATGAACATTCTGAAAAGAAAATATTAAATTAAATTTTAATATTAAACAAAAAACTGTTCTCAGGACACGAAGTTGTCCGCATAATTTTTTCAGACGGGTAAACGGTGTAGAAATCATCATCGAACAGTTAGTATTCTATCACCTTGGTTCGAACGCCTACATAATTTAATAAAACCATTCAACTAAAAGTTATCGTACCTTCTGAGCATTATTTCCATTAGTAGCATTTTCAGTTTTTTCAACACTTGCTTTAACATCACTAGTTTCAGCAGCTGGTGTTGTTGTTTGACCATTGTCTGAAGATGTTACTGGAACATTTTCATTCGATTCTGTTGGAACAACATTAGTATTTTCCGGTTCCGATGGTTTAACTGTTGAATCTGGTTGTTCTTTCTCATTTGTTGTATTCACAGCAGTTTCTTTAGGTGCATAAGCTTCACCATTAATTGGATTGTATCCCACTAAAAATTGATAGAAAAAAAAATTAAAATAAATCAGAATAAAAATTCTCTAGCATATCAAAAACAGGCAAAGCAATTAAATTATAGATTAACTCAAAGGCGAAAATTTATCAAACTCCCTATTATCTTCTTTTTTAGCGTAAGCTTTGAATCAAGTTAAGCAATGAACATTTACATAAATATAAATGAAGCTTGATGAACAATAGTTGTCTAAAGTAAAAGCATGGTGCTTTTTAAGATCTTTAAGTCAATGGGAAAAATAAATATACAAAAAAAAAAGTTATGTCACTTCATAAGTAATACACACACAAAAAGACAAATAAAGTTAAATAAAATATTTCTAGGAGATATTGAAAAATATTTTTTGTTTTAGTTAAAAGCCAAAACAAAAACAACAAAGATAAAATTAATAAAAACAACAGAAGACTCACTGCGTGATGCATTTGGATCTAAAGAATAATAGTTTGTGTATACTTTATCTCAATATGATGAATAATGTTTTTTTGAACCGTTAAATAATCAAATTTATTTAGAAAATTTTATTTAACCTTACCTCGTAAACCATGTCGATTGCCTCCTTGTTGTTGTTGTTTAGTATTTTCATTATCGCCAATACCAAATATATTTGATTTATTTTTATCCGATACTGTACGTGCTGATGTTGGTTCATCTGTACCGAAAATATTTGATTTCATCTGTGTTTGTTTATATTGTCCAGCAAGAGTTCCACCTCGAACATGTGCTTGTTCAGTATTGGTATCAGTACCGAATATATTATTTCCTGTATTACGACTTTGTCTAATATAGAATTGAAAATAGAGAAAATAAAAAATCAAAAGATTAATTTTTACTTAGTAACATTGGTTGGTTCATTAGTATCTTTGTTTGAGCCAAAAATATCCGATGCCATATTGTTTTTTTTATTATTAGCCGATTGTTCAGCTTCAGATGTACTGAAAATATTATTACTATGACCACCTGGTGGTGCATGAACACTTGAAAAAAAGATGGATAGTTAGAGAATAGTTCGATTAAGAAAAAAAAATTCTTTTACCGAATTGATGTATGTTCTTTTGACATATTCGACATTTTAATTTAAAAAAATTCGAGTTTTTATTTAATGGAAAAAATAAATAGTTGTATTGTGTTAAATACTGTAGAAGATAAATAATAATAATAAATGGTGATTTGACGTACAGAAAAAAAAAACAACAACTATAAGTATAATTACCATTACAGAGAAAACTAGACCTCTTTTACAATAAATGATTTTTTTCCTTGAATTAAAGATTTAATCATGAGAAAACAATGCTTTGAAAAATTTGGATATTTTAGTAAAGTTTTAATTTGTTTTACAGACGAAAAACATTCATTCAATGGAGATAGATGTCACCATAGGATGATGTGATAAATATTTTCGTGATTGTATACTTATTAGTTTTCTCATAAACATCCTCGAAGTCTGCTTGTTTTTCTTGATATTGTCATACAAGGATAGCTGTGGTCTAGTATATTTGCCTATGATTTAAAAAAAAATTGTTGATAAAGTTAAATGTAATAGTAGGAATTTTATTTTTCATCGCTGAAAAATAATTTACGAAAAAAACAAAAGAAAATCATGATTGAAGCTTTTGCAATGACATGTGATGTTATTTACTTTAACAACATTTGTTTAGTTTTTCATAAGCATGAGGGTATTTGTCTGGGTGTAGGTATACAAATGACAATCGCTAATCTTCACACCCGCACTCACACATACACCGTTTGAAGGGTAGGTAAGAGTATGGTTGCATCTTATTTGTCTTACTCACACCTTTATGTTATTCTCTACTGGAACCAAATCCTATGCAGGTAGAAAATAATTATTTACAAACACAACCGCCTTTTCTCTCATCATGTAAAGATAAATGCATTTTTTCCGCGAATAAGAAAAAAAACATCTTGAGAAAGGAAAGAGATGTTTTTTTTCTTTGAATGAATTTTACTAGGTTTTTCACTCGTAATAAGCTAGGATTTGGGTGCAGGTGTGGGTGTAAAGTGTGAGAATGGGTTACTGGGTGAATAAATCAAGAGGAAAAACACCCGCACCCTAATATGATTTTTTTTACGTTACAAACCACTTTTTCCAACATTTTGGACTCTCTCAGATAGCGAGGTTTTGTTTCATCTTTTGATAACAGTTATTTATCAGTTGAAGAAGAATAAAGAAAAATAATCTCTTCTAAACGTTGACGAAAAAAAAGATAAAGTTATCGTCTTCTTTATAACAAAACTCTTAACAGCTAGACTCATTCATTTATTTCACTCTTATATCCAATTTTTCAAAACATCATATTCATCTTTGTTACTTCAATTCATAAGATTACTTGATTTTACTGTATCTTCTTGCCATCTCTACAACGAACAATACCATTTACACAAACATCTATCGACGATAAGGTGCAAGTGTGAGTATCTTTCGAATTTAATACTCTCACACACATTTTCAGTATAATACGTTCGAACAGATATGAATGAAAGTGTAGGTGTGAATGATACTTTGTCTTTGTTTTTCTTTGAAAAAGTTAAGTGAAGTTAAGTTAAATACTTTACTTCACTTGACTCAGCGAAGTAAAGTTAAAGTGCGACCCTTACACGTAGGTGTGGCAGATGGGCAAAGAAAAAAACACGAGCCTTCACAGCTACACTCTTCTAAGAGGTAGATGAGGGAATTTAGGATTCAGCAAGTGTATGATTTGCGGCAGACTTTTGCGTCATCTCTTGACACACCATCCCAATTACGAACCAAACCAGAAACTGCAGACATTTGATTGTACAGAAAGAGGTATGGACAGTATTTATTAACAACAACTTCCTCAAGCAAACATTTCTTTATTCATTAAAAACCGAACAGAAACATATCTCTAAAAATAATACTATCGTTACGAAATTAAGCACATTTTCTTCGTAGCCAGTATAATGAGAGAGATAACAATATCTTACTCAGGTCGAAAAGAATTAAATTCGGTATAATAGTTTTAATAATTAACACCTCATTAGGAAATAACATAAACAAGGACAAAATGCTCCACTTTTCCTGATCTCTTTATGCATGAAGATGCTTCCTTCAATGAGTCAGTGACATCGACGAAAGATTCGCTTTTTCAATAGCAACTGTTCTTATTTGATAGCAAGAATATCTTGTAGGAATAATCTACGCAAAATACATTGATTAAAGGTGCTTTAGATGGCTTCCAGTGCTGCCGGAAAAACATCTGCTCTTCGCTTCGCGGATTTGGGTGTGCTACCAAAACGAATGCTAGCTCCGATCGAAGGCTATGAGAATGAGCCACTTGTATCACTCGAAGAAGCAGTGAAACCACTCGTTGATATCGTACCAAAAGTCCAACGTAACGTACGTATTGTCAAGCAGAACTGTCAGGAACCAGAAGATGGCTTAACAAGTGATGAATCTGCTTCAGTTATGCTGTATACTTATGAGTCTATGCCACAAGAACACTCTCTCTACGTTATTCTTAACGCTGCTTTACGTTCTGCACAAAGACAAAACCTAGTTCCTTGGTTCCTCTACTTACGACTTGTATTGACAGCATTAGCTCGTCTTCCATCTAAACGTCGTACTGTTAATCGAGGCGTCAGAGAAGACTTACGGGCACAATATCCGACAGGTAAAACTATCATCTGGTGGGGGTTTTCATCGTGTACTTCATCTATTGAAGTACTTAAATGCGAAAGCTTTTTTGGAAAAACTGGCACTAGAACACTATTTCAAATAGAGTCTTACACTGGCAAAGATATTAAAAACCATTCATTCATCCCGAACGAAGACGAAATACTTTTATTACCGGCCAGACAGTTTTTAGTTAAAGGATGTCTCGATTCTGGCAATGGCCTTCATATAATACAACTGGAAGAAACAGAACCATTCGATCCTCTTCTTGAACCTGTTTCTGTACCTGCTTCTGCGCCTGCTTCCGTACCAAACTTATCGGTTCAGCCCAAGCCGGGATCTCAAAGTGGCTCCAAATCAACAGTTCAAAAACCATCTGTAGGTCAGTATTGATTACAGTGTGGGACCTAAAACTAGGGTAGTTATAACTCGGGTTATAACTTTTTGGGTTATAACCGATCAACTTTTTGGCCAAAAAGTTAATTGGGTTGTAACTATCAACCGTAGTTATAACTATCAACTCGAGTTATAACCTTCAACTCGAGTTATAACTATCAACTGTAGTTATAACCTTCAACCAGAGTTATAACTATCAACCGCAGTTATAACTTTCAACCAGAGTTATAACTATCAACCACAGTTATAACCATCAAATGCATCAATTTTGTCAATCTTACTAGCATTTAGAGACAAAATTGATGCAGTTGATAGTTATAACTACAGTTGATGGTTATAACTCGGGTTGGAGGTTATAACTCTGGTTGATAGTTATAACTCTGGTTGAAAGTTATAACTATGGTTGATAGTTATAACTCTAGTTATAACTGTTTTAACTTTTTACCGATTTTGTCAACTACTAACTTTTTAAAAAATAATTTTAACTCCCACACTGACGTGTAATTATGGCTATCTTGAACTGACTTTGAACTGAAATAGTATAAATGATTAATCTTCACCGCTGAAAAGGCACATAGCTTTTGTTTCTTTTTCTTTATTATAAGAATAATATATCTATATGATCACTATATATCGCCAAAGATTTTAAGAGTTGTTCAATTGTTTTGCTAGTCGCTTTTAAAAAAGCATAGTTTCAAAAAAAAATTTACATTAAGAAAAAAGAAGAAAGACAGGAGAACATTACTAATCGATCTTTCACACGATTAAAGGATTTAGCAGGTTCACATTTGAAAAAAGTTGCTAGTTATAACTACGGTTGACAGTTATAACTCTGTTTAAAGGTTACAACTACGGTTGATAGTTATAACTCTGGTTGAAGGTTATAACTACAGTTGATAGTTATAACTCCGGTTGAAGGTTACAACTGCGGTTGATAGTTATAACTCTAGTTATAACTGTTTTAACTTTTTGCCAATTTTGTCAACTATCAACTTTTTGAAAAATAGTTTTAGGTCCCACACTGATTGATTATGAATAGAAGAAAGTGAGACTTTTTTTACGAGCCAGTTATGATACAATGGAATATTGTTTCGTGGACTTATTCATATTTTTGCATTATCCTAGCTCGATTCGCACTTCCTTAGATTCGCCACTTAGCTTTTATAGTATCAGCAGCGCTTGAGCTTCCCCATTATTACCTAACTAGATTCATAACGCATATATGTTGCTTAGAGTCTTTAATATATTTTCGCATAATGAACGAGAAAGCGCTTGAGTGCTGATTGGGATGATACCAAAATTGGTGGGCGCATATGAATCTATCGATCTATTCGCTATTAGCGAGTGATATTTTATTCGATATCGATAGAATTGTTTTATATTATGGACAGACAGTATGTTATCTCGGGTGAAAAATGAAATGATCATAAGAATGTTGGATAATGCACCTATGCGACTAATACGAGTTAGAAGGCACGAAAAACAAAGAAATTGTATACTTTATCGTCTAAAATAACTTTCTCTTCACCTTCGCATATGTAGTGGTAGATAATATTTATTGCTTCGAAGTTTTCACGAATATGGGTAGTTTCAAAACCCTAAATGTGGTTGTTGATCGAGATGCTTCAAAATGGCTCTTGATTGAATAAAAAATATTTCATAATATGATACAGAAAATTCAATTTTCATCATCAATATATAACCACACGATTCCTTTCAATATTCAAGTGGCAATGATGAATTATGTAAGCAAGCGCACAGAAATCGGTTAAAAACTTCACACAAGTCTTTCGATATTCACGAAAAGATGACAGAAGAAATATCAAAACGTCTGATTTGTGTCTCTTGAATGAAACAATTGATTGATTAATTTTTGATAAAATCAATCAAATATTAGAATAATTGTGTTGCTAATAGAAATTGTATCCGAAAAAACCAAACATAATCTAAAATAACGAGACATAATCGACTTTTTAATGCGATCGTATCTCTCGATGAAAACTAGTTTCCGATGAATTTCGAA